GAGAGCACCAACCCCCCAAGATAAGCCAATAAACGAAACCTGCAAAAGGAGAGAACAGGCAGCAAGAGAGGCGGAGGGAACCCGGGGGGCCTGGAGAGAGAGGCGAGTGTGTGGCAGCCAGGCTGTGGAGCAGAACCGGAGAGGCCGCAGGCTGCAGGCCGGAGGAAAAGGAGGGCCTCCCAGGGGGGCTACTGTTCCTGGCAGAGAGAAAGGAGGCCTCTGGAGGTCAGAGAGAGACACAAAGAGAGCAGACAGAGCGCGGGTCAGTGAGGAAGCCAGCACGCAGGTGCCCGGGGCCTCCCCGGGCAGGAGGCCTGGGAGCCCAGGCCCTGGGGCACACCCCCATGAAGGCAGCCTGCTCTCCACCCCTTCGCAGAATGCCTGTGCGGGTGTCCTCGTGCTTCCAGGCAGGGCGCCAGCTCTGGGCCTCCTTCCATTGGCCTGGTAGGTTCTGCTGAATTTCAGAGAGCTGTCGGAAGCAGGAGCAGCATGCAGCAGCGATGAGCAGGGGCTGAGTTTCCACCACGACACTTTGAGCCCCAGCATCTGCTCAGCCCAGGCACCACGCTGGAGAGGGAGGAGGCCCTGCAGGCCTCTGCACCCTGGGAGTTCTGTGTCTGACTCCCTTCCTGCAATCCTCAGAGGGAAGCTGGCCAGGCTGCCCAAGTCCCTGCACAGGAACTGGGCCCAGGAGGGGTACAGGCAGGGGGTGGCAGGAAGACCTCTGCCTGCCCTGCTCCTTGGGCACTTCCTGGAGGCTTTAATACCGCAGAACAGGGACTGAGAGTGTCTCTTAAAAAGCATATTTAGAGATACGATCTCACCCTGTCACCCAGACTGCTCTCAAACTCATGGCCTCTAACGATCCTCCAGTTGTAGCCTCCAAAAGTGCTGGGATTATGGGCGGGAGCCACAGCGCTCAGCCCCAAATTGTCTTGATTCCCGACTTTGTAGGATGAAGGCCTGAGTGAAGAGGTGGGGAGGGGGCCGAGAGGAAGAGCCCTAGCCCGCCTGGACCACCCTGGGGCATGTATTCTGTGCTCACCTGACCGGGATGTGCCTGCTAAGGCTAGCAGCGAGGCCCGAGGCAGAGCCCAAGGATGGGCCCTGCAGGTGCCGGGCCAAGACCCCACACACAGGCCTGGCCACTCAGGGCCACACCGTTGCTGTGCCGCGCCTGCCCCCTCCCCGCCCGGCACCTCCGCCACTGGTGCAGGGACAGCGGACCCGGCTCTGACCTCGGGTCTCAGGCACGCTGGACGTGGGCAGAGACACGGCTGCAGGGTCTTGGGGCTCGCTCGCCAGCCTCTGCCCGGCACACATGGGCTTGAGCATCTGGAAGACGGCGAGGGGGGCCACGTTCAGCTTCAGTAGGTCCACCAGGATCCTGGCGGGGACAGACGCGGGGCCGGTGAGCCCTCCCTGCCCGGGGCGGCCACCTCCCTGAAGACCCGACAACGACGGGGGCTTCCTCCCGACCAGCGGGCCCGGTGGACCCCGACAGCAGAGGTCGGGGCGATGGGTGAGCCTGCGACCCCCACCCGCCCCGCTCACTTGAACACATCGGGGTCGATGGCGCTGCCCGCCGCCTGCGCCAGTTCGTAAAGCTCCATCTCCTCGGCGCTCAGCACCTTCTTCCGCCGCAGCGCCAGCTTCTGCCGGGCCGCCTCCAGCCCGGGCTGCGCCGCCGACCCTGGCCCCGGCCCTGCGCCCTGCGCCGCCATCCGCCCCGCCCCGCCCCGCCGCGCCGCGCCCGCGTCCGCCCGCAGCGGCGCCCGCCACCCTCTCCCGGCAGCGCCAGCACGGGGCCTCCACAGCCGCTAGGCGGGTACTGAGCCGCCCCCCGCACCGTCACCCGAGCACAGCAGTTATTGGGCGCCCGCGGTGTGCTGGGCGGCGTGCTAGGTGTCGGGGGTGGCATGACGGACCGCTGGGGCCAGGGCTAGGCGGTCAGGGCCTCCCTGATAGACTGCATTGGTTGTGCTCACTTAGGTGGCAGCACCTAACCCAATGCCAGGCATACACTGGGCGCTCAGTAATACCTGGCACAAGAAAGCCTGCAATTTTCTGGTCCGCGCCGGTGCCCCACTAGGGAGCGCTCCTCGGGTGGGTCCCTAATCACAAACCCTGCTTATGCGCACGCGCTCTCCTTGCTGGGCGTGAGCCTAACAGCCAGAGGCCGGAGGCCGCCACCACGCAGGCGCATTCAGCCGCGAACCACCCCCCCCACTTCCCCACACTCCTCCCTCCTTGCTTCCCCAGCCGCCCGGCCGGCCTTCACTTTGCGCAGGCGCGTTTTGAAGTAGCTGCCCAAAGTGGTAGTGATGCTTTTCCCGCCTGGCCGCGGGGCGCGGCTCCTGTGCGCAGTTTGATGACGACATTTAGGCGCCCTTGCGGAATGGCGGCTTTCAGCTCTGTGGCGGGCAATGCTGTGGATCCCACAGGTGAGTGGCGCGGGACGCGCGCGTGAAACGGTCCGGTGCCCCGGCGGCTTCCCCGAGTCCCTGGGGAGGCCGTCTCCGTTCCTCCGCGAGCCCCAGGACTCGGGCCGGCCCCCGCTGCTCTGCCCAGGCCGGGCGGGCTGGGGAGGCGAGGGCCCCGGCTGTCTTCCTGCCACCCTCCTGGGCCATGCCGTTGTGCCGCCTTCCAGCGCGGTTCCTACACTCTGTCTCGGTAATGTACGAGAGACACTGCTCGTTGAAGGTTAACGTTCGTTGAGGGCATTGAGGGAAGGAGAGTTTTGTGTTGAAGTTGAGCCTTGGTCTCAACAGGCGGTGTAGGAGGAAGAGCCGGATGTGGGTCTCTGCTCGATCCTTACTCTGTGTCCTCGACATCTCCGAGCCTCGGTTTCCTCAGCTGTAATAGGGTTCCGATGCCCAATTGGCAGGAGAGTTGGGCACAACAGGCGGGGTCATGCCGCTGAGGGAGGTCTTGGCAGCGACAGAATTTGCTTGGAGCGATTGGCGTTGCCTAAGGGCTGTCACACTGAGAAAAATAAAACCCCAAACGGGGTCCGAAGCAGCTCTCGGAGAAAGTAGGTGTTGAAGAGGCGAGATGAAGCAGCCGCTAAGTGCAGGGCGCCCAAAGACCTTGATGCGGGAGGGGACCATGGCATAACGAAAGAACCAGAGTGTGCAAGGCATCTCTTGGAATTCCCGGGTTTGAATTTCCTCTCTTGGAAATTTTCTGGAAGTTCCTCTGGGTCTCACTCTTTCAGTAGCTGCCCATGAAAGCTTCTGAGCAGAGATGCTTTCACGTCATCACCTCTAAAACTCTGTGTTTATCCAACAGTCCACAGTTTTATGCTGCTCTGATCATTTTGGAGTAGTGCACAGTGTTTTCTTGACCAAGTGCCTGAAGACTGAGGCTTTTAAGTTTTCTTTAACACTGCAATTGATAGCTAGGTTAAGAATTGAAAAAGCCTATACTTTGGGAGGCTAAGGTGCTGGATCACTTGAGGCCAGGAATTTGGGACCAACCTGGCCAGCATAGGGAAACCTGCCTCTACTAAAAGTAGGAAAATCAACCAGCCGTGGTGGCACAGACCTGTAGTCCTAGGTACTCAGGAGGCTGAACCAGGAGAATTTTTTGAATTTTGGAGGTGGAGGTTGCAGTGAGATGAAGGAGTGAGACTCTGTCTCAAAAAATAAATAAATAAATAAATAAATACTTGGAAGATGTTCCTATTGCCAAGTGGCAGAGATTCCTGTTTCCTCTCACACTACAACCGCCTGCAAGGCCTTCTTAAACCCAGCCTCTCCTCCTCCACAGACTGCCAGGTGCCACCCCAGTGCCTTTACTTGTGCAGTAGGCAGAGCTGGGCCATGAAAACTGTAAGTAGCTCACCAGTGGAACTTGGCAGACTTCCTCTCTGTGAAGTCTAGGTCCTAGCATTTTCATTTCTGATCTGGGTGGGCGGAGAGGTAGGAATCTGGAAAGCTAATCCTAGTTTTTTTGTTTTGTTTTGTTTTGTTTTCATTTTTTTGATACAGAGTTTCCCTCTGTCACCCCGGCTAAAGTGCAATGCTGCGATCTTGGCTCACTGCAACCTCCGCATCCTGGGCTCAAGCATTTTGTGTGCCTCAGCCTCCCGAGTCACTGGGATTACAGGTGCCTGCCACCACACCTGGATAATTTTTGTATTTTTAGTAGAGATGGGGATTTGCCATGTTAGCCAGGCTGGTCTTGAACTCCTGGCCTCAAGTGATCCACTTACTACAGCCTCCCAGAGTGCTGGGGTTACAGGCGTGAGCCACTGCCACTAGCCTTTGATCCTAGTTTTCTGGTGACTCATTCAAAGGCTCCCTTGGCAGAGCTTGCTCTTCTCCTCCATGCATTGCATAGTCCACAGGTCATATGCAGGGATTTTGCCCTGTCTCAGAGAGTTTTGCGAGGCCATCTTTGTATTGGAATCTTGGTTCTGCCACTTACCAGCTGGGTGGGAGTAAGTCACTTTTCCCATTTCTGCCTATCTTTCCTTGTCTTTACTGACATGCACTCATAGTACATCTGTACACATAGGGTTGTTGTGAAGATGGTTTTTCTATTCTTGTATGACAAACTTAGCAGCTTAAACCAACACTGGTTTGTTATCTCATAGTTACGTATGCGTAAGTCCAGGCAGGCTCAGCTGTATATCACAAGACTGAATTTGAGGTGTTGGCAGCTTTGCTCTTATCTGGAGCAAAGAAGCTGCTTTCAGGTTTATTTAGGTTGAGGGCAGAATCCAGTTCCTTGGAGTTGTAGAACTGAAGTCTCTGTTTTCTTGCTGGCTGTCAGCTGGGGACTACTCTCTAACTTAAGGTCCACTAACTAGGACTCTAATTGTATCTGCAGAATGCCATCATAGCAATACCTAGATGAGTATTTGAGTGAACAGCCAGGACTCAGGAATCTCGGGGCTATCTTTAGAATTCTGCCTACCACTGAGGATTAAATGAGGAGATATACAGAGAGCCTTTAGAGCGAGTCCTGGTGTATAACAAATGCTGTACAAGCATTGCCAAGGATTTAGTACCACAAACTTGGCTCTGAAGTTGGCCACTGTGGGCTGCATGAGAACAGTGGTTTTGTTGTTGTTGTTGTTGTTGTTGTTGTTGTTTTTAAGTGTAGCCCCAGGAGGAACCTGGGGCAGCAAGTGCATTCAAAGTATCAATGATCAAATCTTTTTTTTTTTTTTTTGAGGCGGAGTTTCGCTCTTGTTACCCGCGCGATCTCGGCTCACCGCAACCTCCGCCTCCTGGGTTCAGGCAATTCTCCTGCCTCAGCCTCCTGAGTAGCTGGGATTACAGGCATGTGCCACCATGCCCAGCTCATTTTTTGGATTTTTAGTAGAAACAGGGTTTCACCATGTTGACCAGGAGGGTCTCGATTTCTTGACCTCGTGATCCACCCACCTCGGCCTCCCAAAGTGCTGGGATTACAGGCTTGAGCCACCGCACCTGGCCAGATCTTTTTTTTTTTTTTTTGAAATGGAGTCCTCCTTCAGCCACCCAGGATGGAGTGTAGCAGTTCAATCTTGGCTCACTGCAACCACCATCTCCTGGGTTCAAGGAATTCTCCTGTCTCAGCCTCCCAAGTAGCTGGGATTATACATACCCGCCGTCATGCCTGGCTAATTTTTGTATGTTAGTAGAGACAGGGTTTCACCATGTTGGCCAGGCTGATTCAACTCCAGACCTCAGGTGATCCGCCTACCTGGGCCTCCTAAAGTGCTAGGATTACAAACATGAAGTCATTGCAACTGGCCAAGAACAGTGTTTCTATAAAACATCAGAATTGCTGGCTGGGTGTGGTGGCTCACACTTGTAATCCCAGCACTTTGGGAGGCTGAGGCATATAGATGGCCTGAGTCTGGGAGTTCAAGAGCAGTCTGAACAACATGATGAAACCCTATCTTTACAGAAAGTACAAAAATTATCTGGGCTTGGAGGTGTGTGCCTGTAGTCCTAGCTACTCAGGAGGCTGGAAGATGACTTGAGCTCAGGAGTTTGAGGTTGTAGTGGGCTATGATCAAACCACTGCACTCTAGCCTGAGCAACAATGCAAGACCCTGTCTCAAATAAATGAATAAATAAATAAATAAATAAGAAAGACTTGAGAATTGGTAATGTAATGTGTGTGTCGCATTAGACAGCTGTTCTCCTGGGCATTGTAAAACTATGTAATATTTTGTTAGGGCCAGGTGCAGTGACTCACACCTGTAACCTGAACATTTAGGAGGTCAACACAGGAGGATCCTTGGAGGCGAGGACTAGAAACTAGCCTGAGCAACATAGCGAGACCCTGTCTTGATAAAAAACACAAAGGAAAATTAGCCAGGCATGGTGGTGCTTACCTGTAGTCCCAGCTACTCAGGAGGCTGAGGTGGGAGGATTACTTGAACCCAGGAGTTTGAGATTGCAATAAGCTATGATTGTGCTGCTGCATTTTGCTTGGGCAACAAAATGAGATCCTGTCCCTAAAAAAATAAAATGGAAAGATTCTGCTGTGTTGCAGATACTGAGATTTCATCTTTCATTTTCCACAGTGGTTTGCTAAGGCCATTTTCGACGCTCCGTTGGAGGCTGCTATGGCATTCCCTCACCTGCAGCAGCCCAGCTTTCTACTGGTAAGCATCAACCGCCTGCATGAGTGTGGCCGTAGTTCTGTAGCCGTGGGACTTGAGTGCTCGTCCCACTGATTTGAAGAGCTCTGTAGTGGTAGTTTTTAGTGGCATGTGATGTCAACAATGCCATACTCCTTAAGCTTGACTGTGCCTCCTTAATACTAAAGAAACTTGGAGTTACTCAACCTCCAGACAAGTTTATTCAAATGCTACTTCTCTATTTCCCAAGGGTATGAGGAGGAAGAGGAGCAAGTGAGAAGGATGTATATCAGACTGTGCATGACCTGGAAATTCTTGAATAGATATGAAGCATTCTGATAACCATAACTGTCAGTCAGTGAAAAGTGGAGACAGTTGTACTGGGGTCCGCTAGGTTTGCACTTTAAGTATTAAACATGATGCTGAGAACTGGGTGCAATGGCTTATGCCTGGAGTTTCAGCTACTGAGGAGACTGAGGCAGGAGGATGACTTGAGACCAGTCTGGGCAACATAGTAAAGACTCAAAAGGAAGAAAAAATTGATAGTGAGAACTCACTGAGAGGTGAAAAGTTAGGTATGAGGTAAGTATTGGTGATGGAAGTTCCTAATTTTATTTCTTAGGAGGCGTATTTGTGAACATTTATGTGAAAGGACATTCTTCCTTAGTGCACCCCACTGAAGCCAAAAGGCCTGGCCCATGGCCAGACAGCTCAGGTCTCCATCTCTGTCTCTAGCCCTGTGAAGTCCATCCTCATATGGAGGCAGACAAGGCCTTAGATATCCTTTGGCAAAGCTCTCTACATTGAAATTCTAGCAGTTTCTCCTGATCTTAATCCATTTGCACAGATGCCCCTTTTCTCCTTGTAGTCAGGGTGCTTTCCTCACATCCCGTGACTGTGGGTAGATCTCATTAGTCCTTGTCCTGAGTCTTTTCTGGCCCCTCCATTGCCTTTGTGATTAGTGTCTACTTGGCTGAAGCCGTCTATATTTGCCTGCCCTGTGTTTTAAGGTCAGTCGTTTAGTGGGTTCACTGTTTACTGAATAAAGCACAACTTGTTTAAGAGCTTCTGCCATAGCCCCGATGTTGTTGGGCATTCTTCTTGATGGTCACAACAGGGTAATCACTGTGGTCCATCAGGCGGGAAATTTCCATTTGATGCATACAGACACAGTGGCACTCTGTGGTCTGTGACAGTTGCCCTTACACAGTTGTAATACTCTTATGGTTTGGGGGCTGACCCTGGGGTCAATCCCTACTTAAGGATCAGTGTAAGTCAGTCCTGTTCTGATGACGTGCAGCACTCTGAGGGGGTACTGGGAAGCAGGCCTGAGAGTTCCTGGTCCAGAGAGCACAGAACCACAGCTTCTCCTACTAGCATTCTTTGGGCCACTGACACACGTGAGGGGCTGGGGAATGAGGCCACTGGTTATGTGTCTGACTCATAACCTATTGCTTGGATTTCTGTTTGACTCAATACAGAGTATCACTAAAAGCTGCATAGTGAATGCTCTCAGGATTTTTTTTTGCTTTATTCTATCTTCTAGGCTAGCCTGAAAGCCGACTCTATAAATAAGCCCTTTCCACAGAGGTGCCAAGACTTGGTTAAAGTCATTGAGGATTTTCCAGCAAAGGTGTAGCTTTGCTAACATCTCTTTTTGCAGCATGTCTTATACATTCCTTGAAGAACTTTACTGTAATTCCTGTTTCTCCACCCCCCTAGCACCCCGCCCCCCCGCCACCTGACCCTGATCGCTGCCTGGCACAGAGGCATTATCGTGACCATTATGTTTATGGACACATTTAAACATGTGAACTTGTAGATCAGGGGTTCTCAACCACAGGTGCTCTGACCCTCAGGGAACACTGGCAATGTCAGAGACATTTTTGGTTGTCACGTCTGGTGGTGGATGGGGAGTGTATGCTACTGGCATCTAGGAAGGAGAGGTCAGGAAGGCTGGAAACATCCTGCAAAGCACAGGACAGCTCCCTACAAGAAAGAAGTATCCAGCCCAAAATGTCAATAGCACCAAGGTCGAGAATGCTACAAACATGTATTTAAATCACTTCTGGAATTGTCAAGCCCAGGTAGTGGGCCTAGACAAGCAGTTAATAGCAAATGGCAACATGTCAGCTACGTTTCAGGGTCTTTACTCTGGGAAGGATGTTGCTTTCCTTTCTGATGGGACATCGTTCAAGTCAGAAGTTTCCAACATTGTTTTAAAGAATCTTTTGGTGTGGTGGCTCATGCCTATAATCCCAACTCTTTGGGACGCCAAGGTGGGAGGATCACTTAAGCCCAGGAGCTCGAGACACTCTAGGCAACATACTGAGACCCTGCCTGTACAAGAAATTTAAAAATTAGCTGAGCGTGGTGGTGTGTGCCCATTGTCTCAGGTACTCAGAAGGCTGCGGTGGGAGCATTGCTTGAGCCCAGGAGGTCAAGGCTGAAGTGAGCCCTGATTGCACCACTGCACTCCAGCCAGGGCAACAGAGTGAGACCCTGTTGCAAAAAACATGTTTTTTTTGTTTTTGTTTTGTTTTTTTTTTACATTTTTTACTTTCTTCATTGTTTTTGTTGATTGTTTGTTTGTTTTTTTAATTTAGTCTTCAATCACACACAAAAGATGTATTTTGATTGGAGGCCGACTTACACCATGTATCCCACTGGAAGAACCCAAAGCTGCTCTTCTCGTTGGCACCATGGCACCAGGGTTCCTTTGGGTTCAGGGCTGATCCCGAGTCTCAGCCAGGGAGTGGCCTTCTCAGAGGGAGCTGGGTAGCAGGTGGTGCACGACTGGAGCTGAGGCAGGAATGGGCGCTGGTCCTGCCCACAGCTTTTCCCCACACTGTTTCAGGAGCTGCACACCATCTTCCCATGGCTGGTAGAGAACATTTTTGGCAGCTTAGATGGTGTCCTTATTGGCTGGAACCTCCGCTGCTTACAGGGCCGTGTGAGTCCTGTGGAGTACAGCATCGCGATGGAATTTCTTGACCCTGGGTAGGTATGTTTGTCACCTGAGAGAGGCTGGGTGCTTCCTCATGGTGATTTCACTTTTAAGTCACTCTCTCAATTTCTTAACGTTAAGAAACAATCAGAGCAAGATAATTTGCAGTTCATTTGCCCTGTTTTTGTTTGTTTGTTCAATTTCATGTTTAGTGGCCCAATGATGAAGTTGGTTTATAAGCTTCAAGCTGAAGACTATAAGTTTGACTTTCCAGTCTCCTGCCTGCCTGTAAGTAAAACACAGAGGCGAGAGTGCTGCTCAGGGCAGTGGGCCTTGCACAGCCCTGCGGTGATGGGTAGTCTCCTCCAGTCCTCTGCGGGCATATTGAGGAGTGAGTTGCTCCGGGATGAGATGCAAAGGAGATGGGTATTGCATGGCCACTACCTTTGTTGTCTGAAGCTTTTTATGAGACGGTAGGAGAAGTTTTAAGCCAAGACTCTTATTCAGGCCCTTCTCAGAGGCAGGGCACTATCCCCACAGGTGGGTTCTGTATGCAGGTCTCTTCTCCAGCAGCCTTCCTGAAGGGCTGGTGTGCATGTGGGGCACCACATATCAGGCACTAGGCACCAACGCCTGCCCACAAGCCCCACTGCCTCTCTCTGCAGGGTCCTGTGAAGGCATCCATCCAGGAGTGCGTCCTCCCTGACAGTCCTCTGTACCACAACAAAGTCCAGTTCACCCCTGCTGGGGGCCTTGGCCTGAACCTGGCCCTGAGTATCCTTTGGTGGCCCTGAGGTAGGGAGGCTGTGGGTGGCCCAGCACTCAACACTGGGGGTGTGGCTCAGCAACCCTGCATGTTTGCCCCTGACTCTGCCATCAGATCCGTTCGAGTATTACATATTCTTCTTTGCCTTGAGCCTCATCACTCAGAAGGTAGGGAAGGGATGCCTCTTTCTGGGAGGGGCGGGGCCACGGCCCAGGACTTCCTGCACTTGCCAGTGCTCGGCAGCCCGGCAGTGTCCAGAGCCTATGCTAACAACTAGCTTGGTTTTCCAGCCACTCCCTGTGTCCCTCCACGTCCGTACTTCAGACTGTGCCTATTTCATCCTGGTGGACAGGTACCTGTCATGGTTCTTGCCCACTGAAGGCAGTGTGCCCCCACCACTCTCCTCCAGCCCAGGGGGGGCCAGCCCCTCACCACCTCCCAGGTAAGGCTGCCCTTTGTTAAGACCTGGCCCTTCCATAAGGAGTGGCCCAGTCATTTGCACTGTTCACAGGGACAGTGGTGCTACCCTTTGTCCAGGGTGTCCCAATTTTTCTTATGCCTCATTTCCCACTCCCAGCTGTCTTAGCATAGACTGGAGGGTGGAGATGTGGAGGGAGATCTGTCTTTTAGTTTTAGGTGTCTGTGGCCATCACTGAAGCTGTCAGGTCTCTGGAGGCCTCCATGGCCTGCATGGGAATGGGCCATGCTCTGCGTTGAGCAGCACTCCCCTCAGGCGGTGTCTGAGGCAAGAGCAGGGCGGAAGCATTGTCCTGTGGGCCAAAAAAATGGAATTCTCTGTGGGACCCAGGAGCATGTTTTGAGGGGGAGGCCCTGGGCCAAAGAGCCTGTTGTGCCATCCCAAACAGGCTGAGTCTGATTCCGGACTGCACAGGTGGGGAGTATGAACCATGGGCTTTCGTGCCTCGCTTTGCTGGGGCCTTAGTGAGCCCTAACCCAGGCCCTCTTGGCTGACTTCCCAGGAGACCCTGTTGTCCCAGCAGCAGTTGCCTGTGCTCCTCTGACCCTCCTTTATCTCGCTGGCCCATCGCCTTCCCAGGAGACTGCATGCAGGCCGCTTCCTGCAGATGCTGGCCCACGCCAGATCTGCTGGCATGTGCAAGCCAGGCCAGGCCAGGCCTCTGCTTACAATTCACATGTGTGGACAGATGCCCCAGAGAGTGGAGGGGAGAAAGGGATTGGCAGGGAGGAGAGGCTGCGCAGGTGGTGACAGTGATCAGTGACCCTGAAATGTTGCTGATCCTGTGGAGGACTTGGAGGTGAGGCGGATTCCCATCTTGTCAGATGCAGAATTCAGCTGCACAGTGATTTTTTATGCCTAGCTTTTTGGCTTGTTTTAACTCTTTGGGTTTCTTTTTTTTTTTTTTTTTCCAATTTTTTTCTTTTAGAAATTATATAGGCTGAGCGAATTGTCTCATGCCTGTAATTCCATCACTTTGTGAGGCTGAGGCGGATGGATCACCTGAGGTCAGGAGCTCAAGGCCAGCCTGGCCAACATGGTAAAACCCCCGCCAATACCAAAAATACAAAAATTAGCTGTGCGTGGTGGTGGACACCTATAATCCCAGCTACTGGGGAGGCTGAGGCAGGAGAATTGCTTGAACCTGAGAGGTGGAGGTTGCATGAGCCCAGATTATGCCATGGTACTCCAGCCTGGGCAATAGAGTGAGACTCTTATCTCCCCCTCCCACCCCCTCCAAAAAAATATATATATATATAATTGCCTTTTGTTTTTTTTTGTTTTTTTTTTTCGGCAGAGTTCTGGCTGGAGTGCAGTGTTGTGATCACAGCTCACTACAACATTGACCTCCTGAGCTCAAGTGATCCTCCCACTTCAGCCTCTCAAGTAGCTGGTACTATAGGCATACATCCCCACACCCAGCTTTTATTTTTTGTAAGATGGTTCTTGCTTTGTTTCCCAGGCTGTTTTAGAACTCCTGGACTCGAGTGATCCTCCTGCCTCAGCTTCCCAAAATGGAGGGATTACAGGCATGAACTACGACACTCAGCCATTGTGATTTTTTATTTTGTTTGTTTTGTTTTGAGACAGAGTTTCACTGTCACCCAGGCTGGAGTGTAGTGGTGCTGTCTCTGCTTCAAGCGATTTTCCTGGCTCAGCCCCCTGAGTAGCTGGGACTACAGCTATACCGTGCCCAGCTAATTTTTGTATTTTTAGTAGAGACAGGGTTTCACCATGTTGGCCAGGCCGGTCTCGGACTCCTGACCGCAAGTGTTCTGCCTGCCTCAGCCTCCTAAAGTGCTGGGATTACAGGTGTGAGCCACCACGCCTGGCCTAGCCATTATTTTTTTAAAGACGATCTTACTCTGTCACACAGGCTGGAGTGCAGTGTCACAGTTATCACTTGGTGGCACAGTCACCACTCAGGCCATCCTCTCATCTCAGTGACTATAGGCATGCATCACCACAGCCAGCTAATTAAAAAGATACTTTTTTTTCCTTTTTTTTTTTTGCAGAGATATGGGGATGCCTTGCTCTCTTGCCCAGGCTGGTCTTGAACGCCTAGCCTCAGCAATCTTCCTGCCTCAGCTTCCCAAGTAGCTGGAATTACAGGTGCAAGCTGCCACACCTAACTTTTTATTTTGAAATGACTTCAAACTTAACAGAAAAACTTCCCCACATAATAAAAAGAACTTGCAAACTGAGCATGGTGGCTTACACCTGTAATCCCAGCACTTTTGGAGGCCAAGGCAGGAGGATCACTTGAGGCCAGGAATGCCAGACCAGTTTGGGCAACATAGGGAGACCTCATTTCTATAAAAACTAGCCAAGTGTGGTGAAGTGCAGCTATGGTCCCAGCTACTCAGAAGACTGAGATGGGAGGAATCACTGTGCCTAGGAGTTTAATGAGCTGTGAGTGTGCTGCTGCACTCTAGCCTGGGGTAACGAACAAGATCCTGCCTCAGAAAAAAGAACTTTCATAGACCCTTCACCCAGATTTCCAAATTGTTAACATTTTGTTGCATCTGTTTTATTCTACGTCTATTGTATGTGTTTTTTTCCCTAAGGCAATATGAGTAAGCTACAGGTTATGACATCCCTCGATCTCTTAATATTTCAGTGTGTTTCCTAGAAGTAAATGCATTATCCTATATAGTCACAGTGCCTATAACTGAAGTTAATATTGCCACCAGGCCACACCTAGTCATCAGACCCCACTTGGGGTTCACCACCTGCTACCCCACTCATGCCTGTTAGCCGTCCAGGGTCCAGCACAGGCTCACCCACTGTGTGCAGTGATGTTTCTAGTCCCCTTCAGTCAGGAATGGTCCCTTGGCCTTTCTGTCTTTCCTGACCTTGACCCGTCCAAAGCATGCAGCTACCCCTTAAACTATCTGATATTTGCTGGTGACTAGGCCCAGCTTTGGTGCTTTGTTGGCAGGAGCACTGCAGTGGGACACCTGGTCCTTGCCAGGTGCCCTTTATCACTGAGCAGAAAAGGTATTGGCAAGGTTTTTCCGTTGTAAAGTAAGTGTTTTGTGCCTAGATTAAATAGTAATGAGGCCAGGTGGTGGCTCATGCCTGTAATCCCAGCCCTCTGTGAGGCTTAGCTGGGGGGATCACTGGAGCTCAGGAGTGTGAAACCAGCCCCAGCAACATAGCAAAACCCCATCTCTCCCGAAAATTTAAAAATTAGCCAGATGTGGTTGTGTGCATCTGTTATCCCAGCTACTTGGGAGGCTGAAATGGGAGGATTGCTTGCACCCAGGAGGCAGAGGTGGCAGTGAGCCAGGATCATGCACTGTACTCCAGCCTGGGCTACAGAGTGAGACCTTACCTCATAAAACATATATATATATATATCAAAAGTAGTAATGAGTGCCTGGGCAGCATAGCACAACCTTGTTTCTGCTAAAAAAAAACAACATCTAGACGTGGTGTTGGTCAGCTACTTGGGAGGCCTAAGACTAGGAGGTTGAGGTTGCTGTGAGCTGTGATCGCATCATTGCACTCCATCCTGGGCAATAGAATAAGATCCTGTCTCAAAAAAAAAAAAACAAAACAATTTACTAGGAAGATGTATGAAGACTATGTAATTACCACTAGTATTAACATCCACTGTTGATTCTCCCTGTTTTTCAAGTTGATTTTATTTTATTTTGAGACGGGGTCTTGTTCTCTCACGCCAGGCTGGAGTTCAGTGGTGCAGTTTCTGCTCATAGCAACCTCAACCTCCTGGGCTCAAGTGATCCTCCCATCTCAGCCCCCCAAGTATCTGGGACCACAAGCAGGCATTACTACATTTGGCTAATTTTTGTAGATGCAGGGTTTTACCATATTGCCCAGGCTGGAAATTTCCTATTTCTTTTAGAAACAGGGTCTCACTCTGTCACCCCAGGCTGCAGTGCAGTTGCAGAATCATATGTCACTGTAGCCTCAACTCCTGGCCCTGGCCATTCTCCCTCCTCAGCCTTCTAAGTAGCTAGGACTACAGGCACATGCCACCATGCCCAGCTATTTTATGTTTTAATATTTTTGTAGAGACGGGGGTCTCACTTTGTTGCTTAGGCTGGTCTCAAATGCCCGGCCTCAAGATATCCTCCTGCCTTGGTTTCCCAAAGTGCTGGGATTACGGGTGTGAGCCCCCATGCCTGAGCTCACTGTTGATTCTTGACCAAATCAGCAATTAATAGGACAGTTGCCAAATGGTGGTTCTCTAACTTCATCCCTCCTTTGTTGATTAGTGAGTCAGTGGTCACTCTGTGGTAAGGAAGACTTTTCTTTTTGCTGTTTATTTACTCAGATATATTAGTGTGGATCAGGGGGTGGTGAGGTGTGGGCGTTATGCTATTGAACAAGTTGTAATCTATTCCTGCTGTCATTGATTTTGATATCCAGATTGCCCCTGGCTGGGCCAGCGGGACCACCTAACTCGGGCCTGTTTCTGTGTCTCTCTCAGGACACCAGCCATGCCCTTTGCTTCTTATGGCCTCCACCACACTAGCCTCCTGAAGCGACACATCTCTCATCAGACATCTGTGAATGCAGACCCAGCCTCCCATGAGATCTGGAGATCAGAAACTCTGCTCCAGGTGAGAGTTGAGCTGGTCAGAAGAAACTGTTTAACCAGCTGGGCTCACGCCTGTAATCTCAGCACTTTGGGAGGCTGAGGTGGGCAGATCACCTAAGGTCAGGAGTTTGAGACCAGCCTGGCCAACATGGTGAAACCCCATCTCCACTAAAAATACAAAAACTAGCCCTGCATGGTGGCTCATGCCTGTAGTCCCAGCTACTTGGGAGGCTGAGGCAGGCGAATCACTTGAACCCGGGAGGCAGAGGCTGCAGTGAGCTGAGATGGTGCCATTGTACTCCAGCCTGGGTGACAGAACTAGACTCCATCTCAAAAAAAAAGAAAAGAAAAGAAACTGTTGGCCGGGTGTGGTGGCTCACGCCTGTAATCTCGGCACTTTGGGAGGCCGAGGCAGGTGGATCACCTGAGGTCAGGAGTTCAAGACCAGCCTGGCCAACATGGTGAAACCCTGTCTTAATAAAAAAAAAAAAGAAGAAGAAGAAAAGAAACTGTTCAGCCACCTTCCATTATGTAGGACAGAGTCCCAGAGATGGCCCCTCAGCCTGGGGCTGATTCTAAATTGTTGGTATTTTCCTGCTATGACATTTAGAAAACATGAAAATAAATCTGCCCACCCTTCTAACTTATATTTAATTGATTGTGTTTTTCATCCCAGGATCTCTCATCCATAGGAGTTGTTTCGTTTTGCCTGTGGTAATACAATTGTTGCAGAGTCTTTTGGTTTCCATCTACCGTGTGGTTGGAGGTGTTTCCTGTGATTACCGTCATGTGGATATTAAGCCCTGCCCCAGTAGCATTTGTATGACACTGAATGGTGAGGGGTCTTTGCAGCCTCCACAGGCCTCGCATTGATTCAGGGGATCCAAGTAGTAGTTGACAGATGCCCTTGTCTGCCCAGAGAGGCTCCAGCCTCTCAGAATGGTATGGGCTGGCTCGCATCCTGAGTGCTGACCAACTCCCAGGTCCTGGCTGTGTCTTCTCGGCACACCTCAGAGAGATTCGGCAGGTGCTGCTTCTGACACTGGATCCTGGGGTTGACTTGATCGCCACAGCCTCACTGTAGACAGCCTGTCATGTAGATAAGATAGCATTTTACCTCCCACCTTGTATATAACTCCTAGTATGTGGGGTGCTGCAGTTTTTGAAGCCTCCGTGCCGTTTCACAGCATCCTTAGTGGGGTGGAATGGTAAGAACCATTCCCCTGTTCACAGAGAGGACCGTGGTACCCAGATGGCTCTTGGCTGTGTGGACTGTGGGCTCTGCTGGCCAAGAAGAGGGCAGGAGACCATGAAACAGGCTTATAGGACAGAACTGGAAGGTTCTGCTGTTTCCTGGATCAAAGCATTGTTTTTTTGTTTTTTTGAGATGGAGTCTCCCTCTGTTGCCCAGGCTGGAGTGCAGTGGCACAATCTTGGCTCACTGCAACCTCCACCTCTCAGTTTTAAGTGACTCTCCTGCCTCAGCCTCATGAGTAGCTAGGATTACAGACAACTGCTGCCACACTCAGCTAATTTTTGCATTTTTATCAGAGACAGGATTTGACCATGTTGGCCAGGCTGGTCTCAAACTCCTGACCTCAAGCGATCCACTTAACTCGGTTTCCCAAAGTGCTGGGATGACAGGTGTGAGCCACTGCACTTGGCCCTTTTAATTTTTTTAATTAAGAACATTTTAATTATAAAATACACATGACATAAAATTTACTGTCTTAACCATTTCCAAGTGTACAGTCAGTAGTGTTAAATATATTCACATTGTTGTACATCTAGTCTCCAGAATGTCATCTAGCAAAACTGAAACTAAATCAGCCAGGCTGCGGGGGCCTCACACCTGTCATCTTAGTGCTTTGAGAGGCCAAGCAGGGAAGGATTAGTCAAGGCCAGGAGTTCAAGACCAGCCTGGCCAACAAAGTGAGACTCCATCTCTTTTAATTAAAAAACAAAACAAAACAAAAAAACCCGTTGAACAGTTCCCCACCCAGGCCCTGGCAAACACAATTCTGCTTTCTGTTCCTGCGGATTTGACTCCTAGATTTCATGCCTAGAGTATTTATCTGTAGCACACAGCACTTATTTGTGTGTGACTAGTGTGCCTCACGTAGCATAATGAACTAAAGATTAATGGATGTTACAGCATGTGTGAGAATTTCCTTGCTTTTCAAGGCTGAAGAGTGTTCATTGTATGGATGTACCACATTGTGTTTATTTCTTCATCTCTCAGTAGACACTTGAGTTGCTTTTGTTTTTAAGACGGAGTTTCACTCTTCTTTGAGAAGGAGTTGCTCAGGCTGAAGTGCATGGCATGCTCTTGGCTCACTGCAACCTCCACCTCCTGGGTTCAAGTGATTATCCTGCCTCAGCCTCCCAAGTAGCTCAGCTGGGATTATAGGCGTGCACCACCACACCTGGCTAATTTTGTATTTTTAAAGCAGAGTCGGGGGTTTCTCCATGTTGGTCAGGCCGGTCTCGAACTCCTGACCTCAGGTGATCCCCCCACCTCAGCCTCCCAAAGTACTGGGATTACAAGCATGAGCCACTGCGTCCAGCCCTTTTTTTTCTTCAAAGGGGTCTAATTCTGTTGCCAGGCTGGAGTGCAGTGGTGCAATCTCAGCTCACTGCAGCCTCAAACTCCTGAGCTCAAGCAGTCCTCCCACCTCAGACTCCCAAGTAGCTAAGACTAGAGGTGTGCCTTACCACACCCAGCTAATTTTTCTATTTTTTATAAGACAGATGTTCACTATGTTGGCTAGGCTGGTCTTGAACTTCTGGCCTCAAAGTGGTCTATCCGCCTCAAGCGGTCTATCCACCTCAGCCTCCCAAAGCACTGGGATGACAGGGCTGAGCCACCATGCCCGCTGGTTGCCTTTTTACTCTGCCAGTAGTATCTTTTGATGCTCAAGAGTGTTGATTTTGATGAATTCTAGTTGCTGTGCTTTGGGTGTCATATCCAATTAATCATTACCAAATCCAGTGTTATGAAGTTTTCTCCCATGTTTTCTTCTGAGAATGAAGGTTTTAGTTTCTATCCTCTGGTCATTTACCCACTTTGAGTTACTTTTTGGTGAGGGTGTGAGGGAAGAGCCCAGCCTCACTGTTGCACATGTGGATATTCTGTGTTCCCAGCTCTGCTCGTTGGAGACACTGTCCTTTCCCCACTGAATGGTCTGGCACCATTGTCGAGAATGATTTGACTAGCTAATGCTTTTTTTGCAGGTTTTTGTTGAAATGTGGCTTCACCACTATTCCTTGGAGATGTACCAAAAAATGCAGTCCCCTCACGCCAAGGTAGGTTTGCAGTTTTTCTTCCCACCTCCTGCTTCTGACGCTGCTCAGCCTGCTGGTTCTTATCCTGCCTCTGAGTGAGTTTTCACAGGTTGCATGGTGGGAAGCAGAAACCCATCACCCACCTGTCACTCACAAGCCGAATAAAAGGTGGACATCTTTCTCTAGTTCCCGGTGGGGGACAGAGGGTGTTGCACCCTGATGTGTAGACACCTGAGGCCTGGAGGTCTGGCCTCTCCAGGGCCCTCCCTGTGTAGCTTCATGAGCCCCCTCGCTGGCAGCAGGAACAGATGAGGTTGTGGCACTTCTTGCTTTGGGAGCGGGGGGCTGCGGTTCCTTTGGGAGCTGTGTTCTCGTCTGTTTCCTTGACTGTCAGCAGTGCCTTTGTGCTTTCCCATCAAGGGGTGGCCTGGAGCCTCCTTTGCTTGCCCCTCCCCCACTCACCCACCTCCTCTAGAGCATGAGCAAGCAGTCCTTCTCCAGTGGGTGGGGCCTGGCGCCTCCTGCATGTGACCTGGGCTGCCTCCTCTTCACCTCTCCCTGCGCTGTCTCTGAGCAGCACGCTGCTCGCAGATGGATAGAGGTGGTGGAAGCCCTGGGTTGCTCCTGCTGTTGCTGTCCATAGAGCTCGCACCCCCCTGGACTGGTCAGAATGAGAAAGCGACTGGATGGATCTTAGGTCCCTAATCAGTCACCCTCCATGGAGCAGCTGAACTCACACACACCTGAGTCCCCACCCTGAGATGAGCTGTGTAGTCTGGTGCCCACGGCGTCTGTGCATCAGTGTGCTTGGGAAACTTTGGCTTTGTCGCTGACAAAATTCTTGAGGGCTTCTGGGGAAGAGCTGTGGGTCTCTTCTGCCACGGTCTCTGCAGCCAGTTCTATGGCCCGATGCTTTGCCGTGTGGAGGCCGTCTTAGAGCATAGCGTCCCTCAGTTCCTCACCCTCAGCTTCACATGGGAGGAGAATGGGGAAAAGCTGAGGACCCCGTCTTGGGCCTCCTGAGTCACAAAGAGCCTGCAGGGCCCTTCCTGGTTCCAGAGCAGACTTGCTGCATGTGCCTGGCAGTGCCTGTCGGTGCCTGGGGACCTGGTTGTTGCCAAGGCCGGCTCCTCACGAGGGGCTCTGGGACGCTCGCTCAGCACTCGTGCATGTGGCATGACCTGGCAGGGGCAGGGGAAGGGGCCTCACACGGCACTGTGTTTTTGTTCTGCCTTCTGAGCGAGTGGAAGCACACCTGCTTTCAAGGGCCAGCCAGAGAGGCTCGGGCTGTTGCCTGTGAGGACTCTGTGTCCTCATGGGCCAGGGGAAGGATGGGGGCTGTTCTTGTGGAGGGCAGGAGGTGTCGTTTCCTTCTTCCCCACATTTGCTTCCTCTTGGCCAGACCTTGGGGTGGGTGGGCCCTGCTCAGAGTGAGTTGCAGTGGTTGGACCAAGGGCCCAGAGATGCTCCACTGTTTGCCTCTTGCAGTTGAGGCAAAACACAAGAAAACTGGGTAGGTGGGAGCCAGAGAAAGGCCACTATGGAGGTCCACATCCCCAAGGCTTCTTGCCACTTGCCCGGGCCTGTACTGCACCTGCCATACAGAAATCCTTGCCCATCCCTGCCAGACCTCATTTCCAGATGCAGGAAGTGAGGTTCCTGAGCCCGTCCTCCTCATCCTGGTTGAGTCCAGGGTACATGCTTGCTTCTCAGTGGCCCTGTGGGCAGTGAGCATGGCCATGGTGCTGCAGGCCACTGTGTTCCTGCAGGCAAGCAGAGACCACACTAGGGTAGAACTGTGTGTCTGATTCCTGCCTGAGCCTCAGATCTGGCACAGAGAAAGCTGTGGGGGGCAACAGCTCCTTGCGCTGCTCTTACGTGTCATGGTGTCTGGCATGTGTTCTGATCTCTCCTGTGTGGAGTCCATTGGATGCGCTGCTTGGGCAGGGGCATGCTGCTCGCAGGACAGGATGTGTGCCAGGCTGGCTCTGGCTGCTCTGGGCTGAAGGGGTGCTTCAGCAGGCTATGGTGCTGTGGTGCTGCGGTGCGGTAGGTTGGAGGGTTCTGACTAGGAGCCAGCTCAGCCTCAGGTTCCTGCTGCCTCTGGGTGTGTGTGGCTGTGGCCAGATCCCGCCTTGGGAGCCTACTGTATCTTGAGGGTAGGAGTTCCTGGTGCACTAGGAGAGGCTGCCTTCTGGAGTCAGAACTGATGTGCACACCGCCTCAGCTGACCTCCAGACTGTGAGGTGTGGAGAGCGGGGCGTGGTGACCCGAGCCTGTGCTCGTCTCTGTGCTAGCCCTGGGGACCTGTTCTCGTCCTCAGTCCTCAAAGAGCCACTCATGGAGGGGACATTGAGTTCTAGACACAACGGAATTGATCATGTCTTATACCAATTTGGTAAATTTCTCAAGATAACCCAGGGAAATCCAGTCAATGTGTCTTTTCTGTGCAGAGCCCTCCTGGAACATGCTCCACTGGTTTTTCTGAGCCTCGGTACCTTGAGGTCATGGTGGCTGGGAGCATGTCCCAGCAAGGGCCCTGGGCTCTTGGAGGGCTCTGGTGTGCATGTACCACACACAGTGTGACCTCAGAGTCACTCGGGGGAGAGGGCCCCATCTGGAAGGGCAGTGAGTTGGGCCCTTCCAATGAGCTGGGGAGGCCTTTAGGCCCCAGGGACATTGAGGGGCCACTCAGGCAACCTGGAGGGTCCACTTGCCCGGGCCTCCAAGGCTGAGGAGAGCGCGGCCACAGCCCTGGCCTGACTGCGGAGGGGGGAGCTGCGCTGGCCCGCAGCTGCTGGGACTGCAATTGTTTGAATTGTCACTGACCGTGCTTTTGTTTTTGTTTTTTCTCCTCACTTCTGGGCTCATTCTCATTGCTTTCTTTCTCTCTCTGCTTGCCCGTCCCGTGTCTGGTCCTCTCTCCCCCCTTCCCCACCCCATCCTCCTGTCCTCTGCTCTTCTGCCTCTTCCGGCTTCTTTCTGTTCCCTGTCTCAGCTGGAGGTTCTGCACTACCGACTCAGTGTCTCCAGCGCCCTCTACAGCCCCGCCCAACCCAGCCTCCAGGCCCTCCACGCCTACCAAGTACTGGCTGCACTCATTTGTTCCCTTCCCCCTGCCCAGAGTACATGTCTGTGTCTGGCAAAGGAGGGCGCCGGCCAGGGCTGGCCGCTGATGACTCAGAGGCTACTTCCAGGTGGAGCGAAGCCCCTGTGTTGGGGGAGGCAGGGGTCAGCCTCCAGCCTGGCCTAGCCCCTGGCTTTGCAGACCAGCTTGGGTGGGGGTGGGGGTGGTGGCTGTGTGGCAGAACGAGGCATGTGGGCATGTGGCCCTGGCTGGCCAGGCTCCCGGTCAGTGGAGGTGTCACAGGCTCTCTGGTGTTGGAGGCCCGTGCTTGGCCCTGGTTTGAAGAGCTGGAGTCCTCAGGTGTCTGCAGTAGCCCAGTTTACCCACACTCTGCAGGGTCTGGTGCTCAGGAAGGAGTTGAAGACACAGAGGCCTGGGACTTAACGGGTGGTGTGGATTCTGCCTTGTTCAGAACTGTCTCCCAGCCTGGAGGTGCTGTGACTCAGAGCCTGTGTGTGAGGCAGGGGGGTGGGGATGACCTGGGGCTTGGCCCTGTAGCCCACAGAGGCTGTCAGTCCTTAACAACTTGGCCAGGGCCTGGCCTTCACCGGGGAGCTCTGGCCACTTGTGCACACCTCCAGAGGCAGACGACAATAGGTGGTAACCTCATAGAGGCTGTGGATGTCTAGGCAAAAATGACAAGCGTGTGGATGGATTTGAGGTCAGTGAAGCTAAGTTCAGACCCATAGGGGCTCAGGGATGGCAGAGTTAATGAATCGTGGAGAGCCTGAGGAATCAAGCTGTGCTCGCAGCCAGAATCTGTCCCATTCACCTGGGAAGGAGCACATGTGATTGAACAGGAATTTGAGCACAGGATGAGAAAACGTGCTGGCCCCTGTGTGCCAGTGGGCTGGGATGATGGCCACAGCACACCGAGGCACCCCTTTTCCACAGGAGCCACTGCAGAGGAGGGACCTAAGGGCTTGGGTCAGAGAGGAAGGGCAGTGTCCAGGAAGCATCTGGCAAACCCCATGGTGGGAGGGGTGACCGGCGAGGCCCAGGTGGTGTGAGCTGAGGTGGTGTGAGGCTGGACCCAGTGGGAAATGTGGAGCTTTGGGGACACATCCTTAAGAAGCAAGCAGGTACGACTGTGACCAGGGGCTCCATGTGGGAACATGGCAGGCCAGGAGGGGTGCAGAGCTGAGGGAGAAGTTTGGCTCAGCAAATGTAGGAAAACAGGCTGTGAGGGTTCCATGCGATTGCCCCATGCTGGGTCATGATTTTGTTGCAAATCAAAAGTTTGGCCTATAATCCCAGCATTTTGGGAGGCCAAGGTGGGTGGATCACCTGAGGTCAGGAGTTCAAGACCAGCCTGGCCATCATAATCAAACCCCATCTCTACTAAAAATACAAAAATTAGCTGGGCGTGGTGGGGCACACTTGTAGTCCCAGCTGCTCGGGTGGCTGAGGCACTTGAACCTGGGAGGCAGAGTTTGCAGTGAGCTGAGATTGTGCCACTGGGTTCCAGCCTGAGTGACAGAGGGAGACCTTGTCTCAAAAAAAAAAAAAAAAAAAAAAGTTTGGCCTTGTATGCTTGACTGCTTTTGTCTTGGGGTTTTCCTGACCACAGGTCCCTGGGCAACAGAGGAAGTGACGCCTGGGGCTTCTCATGGGCCAAGCCCTCACCTGGCTGTGTCCAGAACAAGGAGCAGGTGGAAGGAATTGCAGAGGAAAGCAAAGCCATGGGATTCTTATTTTTGAACAAGGTCTTACTCTGTCATCCAGGATGGAGTGCAGTGGCATGATCCTAGCTTACTGCGGCCTTGAACTCCTGGGCTCAAGTGATCCTCCCACTCTAGCCTCCTGAGTCACTAGGTCTACAGGTTTGCACCACCACGCCCAGCGAACTTTTTAAAATTTTTCGTAGAGTCAGGGTCTCCCTATGTTGCCCAGGCTAATCTCAAACTTCTGGCCTTAGCAATCTTTCTACCGCAGCCTCCTAACATGCTGGGATTACAGGTCTGAGGCATCTCGCCTGGGTTCCATGTGCTTTCTGCACACATTTGGGAGGCAGGTGGGAGACCCTGGATCCAGAGCTTGGGAGTGACGCCAGCCTTCTGCCCTGAGGATCAAGGCAGGCAGCAGTGCCCAAGGGCATCGCTTGCTGGGCTGCGGCCTGTGCTACTCACTGCGGGTATGCAGCAGTACAGAAGCAGGGCTGGGAGGCCCTCTGCAGATATGTCTGTTTTAGCGAGCCCTCCCCCGGGTGGGCTGTGTGAGTACTGGGCCAAGCACTTCCCTACCACAGGCTGGTTGTAGTTTAAACCAAGCAGTGCAAGGCACATCCTCTGGGTGCCAGGCACAGTGGGCTCCAGGGGGTGGCCCCACTCCTGGCCTGGCTCATGCCTCCTTTGGGGAGGCAGAGCAACCGGCCTGGGGTGGGATGTGGTCAGACCTGGATGCCGACTGCTGTGGGCGCAGCGGCCCTTCCCTGATCCTGACCCCTGCTCCTCCACCTAGGAGTCGTTCACACCCACTGAGGAGCATGTGCTGGTGGTGCGCCTGCTGTTGAAGCACCTGCACGCCTTTGCCAACAGCCTGAAGCCAGAGCAGGCCTCGCCCTCTGCCCACTCCCATGCCACCAGCCCCCTGGAGGAGTTCAAACGGTGGGTGGCCCTTGCAGCTTCCTGCCCCTGCTGTCTCCTCTGCTTTTCCCTCCTCAGGTGTCACCCACTGTGACCTCTCCCCAGGGCATTGGGGGTCAGGGTGAGGGGAGTCCCTGCCCATAGAGCACAGGATGCCTCTGGAGGCCTAGGCAGGTGCCTTCTCACCCGCCCAGCTGACTCCCAGAGCCTCTCCCCATACTGGCCAGAGAGACCCTGCTATGCTGTTGTCTCTTGCTTCTCCCACCCCTGTCAGGAAAAGGGCTGGGGCTGCCCTGGCTCCCAGGCCCACTGGGGCTGTCTGTGTGGGACTGAGGTGAGGTGTGTGCAGGAACCACACTGACTCGCTGCCTGCGTGCTGTGTGTCCTTGGGAGGTTCCCTGACCTCTCTTAACCTCTATTTCTTCCTCCGAAGAATGGGGCTAAGCTTCCCAGAGGTGCCGGGTGGAGCCGACCCTCACTGATGGGAGCCTCAGGCTCATCTGTGAGCAGGACCTCCTTACCGGGCAAGCGGCAGGTGACCCTCCCCATCCCCTGCAGGGCCGCTGTCCCAAGGTTCGTCCAGCAGAAACTCTACCTCTTCCTGCAGCATTGCTTTGGCCACTGGCCCCTGGATGCATCGTTCAGAGCTGTGAGTGTTGGCCCCGTCACTTTTGTGCCTGGGTCCTCTGTGTGCCCCGAGGAGGGAGGTCCTCTGGGGCAGATGAAGGAAGACAGCAAGGGTAGTCACAGGCCTTGGCAAGGAGGGGGCCTGGGAAGCCACATTGTTCTTTGTTTCAGTTTCCAAAGCCAGCCCTCAGGAAAGCCCTGCCCTGTCCCGTATGTCTGGTGCCGGGTAGATTCTCACCCTTATCCAACCAGGGAGCACTGGGCCCCCTGGGCTGGGAAAAGCTCACCCATGACCCTGGCTTCTAAAGGGCCAGCAAGAGAGCCAGACCTCGCTGGGCTGTGTGCGTCTCTCTCGAGCCCTCTGGGGGACATGGGCAGAGCCAGTCCCACCCAGCTGCTGCCTGGGACCCAGGCTCCAGGCCACTGGAGTATTTGGCCCCCAGCCACTGGACCCTCAGCACACACCTTGTTCACAGGTCCTGGAGATGTGGCTGAGCTACCTACAGCCATGGCGGTATGCGCCTGACAAGCAGCCTCCCAGCAGCGACTCCCAGCCCCGGTGTGTGTCGGAGAAATGGTGAGCCTCGGTGCCACTGGCTCCCCGGTAGGATGTTATTCCGGTGGGTGGAGGCCAAGCCAGTGGCCTGTGCTGGGGTCAGCCTGGCCCTGGTGGCCTCCTGAGCTCCTCTCCCAGCCCCCGATGAGTGGAGCACCGACCAACCTTTCCTAGGCTCAACTTTGTCAGGCCCTAGAATTGGTTTCTCATGGAAGCAGTGGGTGACCCATCCTGCCCTGTGCCTTCTGTCTTCTGGCCCAGACGAATGTTCACGGTGATCCTAAACCATCCCTTGACCCTTCCTCACCAGCATAGAGGAGAGCTGTGGCCGCCTTCCCCCATCCCCTGCTTGATCCTCACAGCAGACCCCAGGCTTCTGTGGCACCTGGTGTGGCCACTGGCCTCTCGCCTCCTTGCCAAGGTCTTCCCCTTTGAATCCTGTGGGGTACCTTCCCTCAGGCTCTGGGCCGACCTCTGCCATGGTGGTCTCAGTCTACTTGGAATGGGCCTCAGCCTTGCTAAGGACGCAGCGTCCTCAGAGGGCCTGGATTTCACCTGCCTCCGTCCTGCCCACCCATGACTCTCCCTCAGCTGTCCTCTATGACAGCTTGTCACCTTGGCCAGGGAGAGTCTGTAAGCCCAAGGACGAGCAGGGGCATTAGGGGCATGGACTGCTGCAACCCCACCTCCATTGGGAAAGCTGACCCCTACCTGCCACCTCGGTCCCCAGGGCGCCCTTTGTCCAGGAGAACCTGCTGATGTACACCAAGCTGTTCGTGGGCTTCCTGAACCGCGCGCTCCGCACAGACCTGGTCAGCCCCAAGCACGCACTCATGGTGTTCCGAGTGGCTAAAGTCTTTGCCCAGCCCAACCTGGCTGAGATGATCCAGAAAGGTAAATCCTCGGCATGGGGCAACCGGGCAGAGCAGGGTCAGGCCCTTAACTGGTGGTGGCTGCCCTTTAAGGGGGACCCACGCTTCTAGAGTGGGTCCTGATAAAGGATGCTATGGAGACTCCTGGGGCACATCTGTGCAGTGAAGTCAGACTGGCTGAACCCGGCCTGCCTGTAGCCACCAGGCACTAGGCAGGGGACCACAGGTGTGCCGACAGAGGAGGGCTGCACAGTCCAAGCTGTGGCCCCGGGGCCCCACCATTTCTCCAAGGTGACTCATGGTGGCTGTCTCAGGAGATGAGCCTGGTCTCTGCCATGCATTTATCCTGGCTGGGTTGGGTGTTGGTTTCTGTTGCTCCTCCAGGTGTTTGCCTCCTGCAAACACTGCTGGGGGCTCGTGTCAGCCGCCTACTGTGTGGGAGATGCTGCCAAGCAGGGCCTCAGGAGGACACCTCTGGGTCATGGCTCCCCAGACACCTTAGAGGAACCCCAGAATCCTAAGGGCAGCAGTGGGTACTCTGTGCCCTGGAAATGGGCACCACTTTGTCTCCTGCCTTTCAGGTGAGCAGCTGTTCCTGGAGCCAGAGCTGGTTATCCCCCACCGCCAGCACCGACTCTTCACGGCCCCCACATTCACTGGCAGCTTCCTGTCACCGTGGCCACCAGCAGTCACCGATGCCTCCTTCAAGGTGAAGAGCCACGTGTACAGCCTGGAGGGCCAGGACTGCAAGTACACCCCGATGTTTGGGCCTGAGGCCCGCACCCTGGTGAGTGGATTGGTGGGGCCCATTCTCAGGGTCCCTGGAGCTGTGGGGCTGAGCAGAGCCTAGGAGGTGCTGGTTCCGGCGGGAAGGAGGGAGGCTGGGTGTAGAGTTGATGCCGCATCTCCTTCCACCGTTTCAGTAAAGTCTCATTTTTTCCTGATGACGAAGGCAGCGTTTGTGGGGAAATTTCACATGCAGATCACCCTTTGGTCTTTAAAAGTCCTCTGGTGGAAGCTGCTCCTCCTGGCGCTCAGAGGTCTGGCGGTGCATCGCTCTTGGGCCCCCGGCCGGCTAGCCTGGATGGCAGCACAGGCCTGTCCTGCCAGTGACCTGCCCACACCTCCCTTGTAGGTCCTGCGCCTCGCTCAGCTCATCACGCAGGCCAAGCACACCGCCAAGTCCATCTCAGATCAGTGTGCGGAGAGCCCAGCTGGCTACTCCTTCCTGTCATGGCTGGGCTTTGGCCCCACAGACACCAATGGATCCTACCCAGCCAATGACCTGGATGAGATGGGGCAGGACAGCGTCCGGAAGACGGACGAATATCTGGAGAAGGCCCTGGAGTACCTGCGCCAGATATTCCGGGTATGAGCTATGGGGCCTGTCCCACAGCCGTCGGGGTCCCCTTCCCCACAGGAGTCACTGCCCCCAGCCTGTGGTCAGCCACATACCAAGTCCCAGGTACCACACAGTTGGACCCAGTGTTTCGGGAGGCAGGCCCACACCCCAAGCGTCATGTCTGGGTCCCCTTGTTGCCACTGTTGGAGGCCAGTGGGGTGAAGACCGGTTCCCTCCCTTCATCTTGACGCTGAGGGCAGAGGCGCTTCTCTCTGGCAGCTCAGCGACGCGCAGCTCAGGCAGTTCACACTCGCCTTGGGCACCACACAGGATGAGAATGGAAAGAAGCAGCTCCCCGACTGCATCGTGGGTGAGGATGGACTCATCCTCACGCCCCTGGGCCGGTATCAGGTGAGAGGTCGGGGTCCCAGAGGCCTGTGGACTGGCCCCTGACCCATCCCCAGCTCCCTCCTCCCCCACGAGCAGAGGCCACTCGGCTCCTCTGAGTTGTGTGCAGGGCTGTGTTTTCTGACCCATCCCCATGGCCTGGGTTCCTAGATCATCAACGGGTTGCGCAGGTTCGAAATTGAGTACCAGGGAGACCCGGAGCTGCAGCCCATCCGGAGCTATGAGATCGCCAGCTTGGTCCGTGCACTCTTCAGGCTGTCGTCTGCCATCAACCACAGAGTGAGTGGGCAGGAGGGCCAGCCTGGCCTCTTCAGAGAGGGTTCTGGATGCTCCTGCTTGGGATGCAGTCCCGGGGTGGCCTGCGGGAGTGGGGCGCTGCTGTCCTGAGGCCTGTGGTGCCACCTCCCCATGCCTCTGTGCCTCTGTTTATGCTTCAGTTTGCAGGCCAGATGGTGGCTCTGTGTTCCCGGGACGACTTCCTCGGTAGCTTCTGTCGCTACCACCTCACAGAACCTGGGGTGGCCAGCAGGCACCTGCTGAGCCCTGTAGGGCAGACGCAGGTGGCCGGCCATGCCCGCGGCCCCAGGCTCAGCCTGCGCTTCCTGGGCAGCTACCGAACGCTGCTTTCACTGCTGCTGGCCTTCTTTGTGGCCTCCCTGTTCTGCATTGGGCCCCTCCCCTGTGCGCTGCTGCTCGCCCTGGGCTACATCCTCTACGCCTCAGCCATGACGCTGCTGACAGAGCGGGGGAAGCTGCACCAGCCCTGAGGGCGCCAGCTGCCTTCAGAGCTCCGGGGGATTTGCCACACAGCCCCACCCTTGGACCTGAGAGGACCTGGGAACTCCTCCAGGAGGGAATATGGTCATCCTCAGGTTTCTGGGTGGTGGTTCCTGCAGCCACAGAGGCATCTGGAGGAAACAGAACTGAGAAGGGAGGGCAGGCGGGTGAAGCAAAGGAGTGGCTACCGGGCCCAACAACCATGCTCTGTGACAGCACAGAGCTCAGCGCCAGCTCCTCCCTCCGTCCACCAAGGACTCACGGCCAAGCCAGCTCTCAGGAACTTTTTTCCAGTGTCCATTTGGGTACTCTACCACATCAAGCTCAGGAGCCAGTGTGCAGGCAGCCACTCAGGCTTGGCCTGCCCACTGGCTGGCCTTGAGGTGGGCAGAGTGAGTTGTGGTGCCTCTTCTCCCTGTGTGGGACCAGTATGGTGGCTCAACCTCCACTCCAGGGAAGAATCAAAGTTTCTAAAAGAGCCCTGAAAACACTAGAGAGTGGCTCTCCTCTGATTCTTCACTGTGAGTGAGGGGCATTCTTCACGTTCTCCCAGCTGTTCCAAGACTGGCCCATAGAAGTTCATGTTTCAGGAGCCTGAGATTCTCCCAAGCCCGAGTGCTTCACTGCAGACCGCAGTCCATCGAGCACATCACCCAGAGCAGCAGCCAGCCCGTGCCTTGTCACAGATGGGTGCTGGGGACACTGCTGGGTTGATGGGGTCAGATCCTGCCAGTTTCTGCTCTGCAGCCAAAGATGATCAGAAGCATCGCAGCTTCAGTAACATCAAATACTCAAAGACACAGCAACCGTTTAATGATACTTAAGTATTCAAAACTACAGATTCTGTGACAGAAACCTCTATGGGGTCTCCCACACCTTCATTCCCCCACAGACACGCCAGGGAGAACAGCATCTTGGTGACTTTCAAACCAAGCCTTTGTTTTCGGTGTGGGATGGTGGGGGTTTGCTTTAATGTTTTTCAAACTAAATGCTGGGCTTTGTATTTTGATGTAAACTAAGAATAATGGCATTTTAGGACTTGTGATCAAAAATCAAACCAAGCTTGTAACTCGATCTGAATAAACTTTTCCTTCTCAGTCTTCTGGCACCTGGGTTCAGTCTCCAGGAGGTCCACCCCAGAGGGTCCCTGAGCATGTGGGGGTTGCAGAAATAGCCATCCGGCACCCTGTCGGCCCCTCTCCCCAGTGTCCACAGGCCTAGGCCTCTGGCTCCTTTGCTTTCCTTGTTCAGGGACACAGTAGACTCGACAGCAGCAAAACCAAGGTGCATGTTAATACTGAAGTACCTGTGACAAAGTCCCTGCTGGGTCTGAGCCATGTGAATTTTGCCTTCTGCTCAGCATCAACGTTGGCCTTAGGAAAGGCCCGCTGGGGCTAGGCCCAGTGACTCACACCTGTAATCCCAGCACTTTGGGAGACCAAGGCAGGGAAGATAACTTGAGCCCAGGAGTTTAAGCCCAGCCTGGGCAACATAGCAAGACCCTGTCTCTACAAAATACTCAAAAAGTTAGGCATGGTGGCTCACATTTGTGGTCCCAGCTACTTTTGGGAGGCTGAGGTGGGAGGATCACTAGGGCCCAGGAGGTCAAGGCTGTAGTGAGCCATCATCACACCACTGCACTGTAGCCTGGGTGACAGAGTGAAACCCCGTCTCAAAAGCTGACCACTGGAACATATGCCGCCATGTCTGTGGCTTCCAGAAGCTCCAAGGATGGAGGGAGTGGCTGGGGGCTGAACTGTCTGGCCAGGAGCCGGGGCAGACAAAACGTGCTGAGAACCAAGAACAGCAAAGCTGAGTAAGTGGGCAGGGTCTTGGTGTCTGAGACGTGGTCAGTGATGGCTGCAAGGGCATCTGGCGCTCAGTGGCTCCTGCCTGGGGAGCGAGGGCAGCAGCGGGCAGCTGGGTTCCAGCCGATTCCAGGTAGGGGATGACCTCACCAACAAAATGGGATTTAAATTTTGCCAAGAGCTCTCACTGCAGAGAAAATGGGATTGCTGGGACGAAATCAGAAGCAAAATGCAGGCGGGGGGTCGGTGGCCAGGAGGCACTTGGTTGCGGGGGGCACTTCTGGGGAAGGCCTGGAGTTGGAGCAACTCGGGGGAAGCAGTTCTGTCTGGGGCACAGGAGGTGGAAGCTCTGGGAGGAGCATCTAGGGTGGAGGCCAGGCTGGAGGCAGGAGCTCCTACATCCTCATCTCTCCACCCCAGGATGCCTCCAGAGTGGTTTATCCCAACCGCTGCCACTGCCTCTTCAAGCACTAGGATGCCCTTGACTTTTTGCCATTGGGTCACGTTTCCCTGCTAACAGGCCAAATCCAGATGCTTCTCAGACCACATGGCCTGTAGCCTCTGGCAGTGGAGCTTCAGGCTCGCCTGATACCACCCTTGCCGCCTGCACCTCCGAATCCCCCTCCATGTTCCCCAGGCACTGCTATTCCCTGGAGCCCATTCATGGCCCACTTTCTTTCATGACCAACACCTGCTACCTCTAGGATGTACCAGTGCCCCCATGATCCAGTGTGACTCAGATTCTGATCATCTTGTGCAGGCAACCCACAAGCAGAGGCCCTGTGCAATCAGGAGAAATCTATACCTTTCCCCTTGGACATCCAAGAGCAAGATCCCCTAAAAGCCAGCTCTCACCAACAACCCTGACGTTTCCAATATAAATGAAAGGATTCCATATTTTTTTGAGACAAGGTCTTGCTATGTTGTCCATGCTGGAGTACACTGCATCATCACGGCTCACTGCAGCCTCTAACTCCTGGGCTTAAGCAATCCTCCCTCCTCAGCATCCCAAGTAGCCAGGACTACAGCCACGCGCCACCACACCCTGCCATTTTTTAAATTTTTTGTGGAGACAGGGGTCTCACTATGTTGCCAGGCTGGTCTTGAACTCATGAGCTCAAGTGATCCACCTGCCTCTGCGTCCTGAAGTGCTGAGGTTGCAGGTGTGAGCCACCACACTGGAGAGAGGACTCACTGTAAAAATTAAGCTAGCTTCCCTTGACTTCCAACACCAGAATTCTTGCATAATTTTCTTAAGTGGCAAGGGGCCAAAATAGATCAAATTGTTTCCCAATCAAGAATTCCTCCTTTTGGCCAGGTGCAGTGGCTCATGCCTGTAATCTCAACACTTTAGGAGGCTGAGGCAGGAGGATCACTTGATGTCAGGAGGTTGAGACCAGCCTGGCCAACACGGTGAAATCCCATCTCTACTAAAAATATACAAATTAGCCAGTGTGGTGGCACATGCCTCTAATCCCAGTTATTTGTGAGGCTTAGGCAGGAGAATCACTTGAACCTGGGATGCAGAGGTTGCAGTGAGCCAAGATGCCACCACTGCACTCCAGCTTGGGTGAGAGTGAGACTCCTCAAAAAATAAAAAAGGAAAAAAATAATAAAAGTGACACATTGGCAGCTGGCACCAGGGAGAGGCCATTTCCTGATGGGCCACACCTGTTTCACTAAAGTGTTAACTAAATGCAGATTTCAGGGAGAAGCAACTTCAGGACGTGTGCATTGAAGAGACAAAGTGGCAGAGTATGACCTGCTATGGACACCCCACCAGAAAACCTCAGATGGGCATGCATACAGTTTCCTAAACACGCTTCGTATGCTCCCCTCCCAAGGATGAGGAGGGCACTGTGCATGTGGGCAGCCCACCCTAAGGGAAGGATCATGGAAAAGGGGCTAGTCTAGAAAGTTTTAGGATCAAGGTTAAACAAGTCACTTGACCTTCATGTGCCTGCTTAGGTCTCTTCCAAGCATACTTTCCTTTCTTTCTTGTTTTAAAGCCTTTTAAATAAACCTCCACTCCTGCTCTGAAACTTGCTTTGGTCTCTTTTTCTGATTTATGCCTCTCAGTCAAATTCCTTCTTCTGAGGAACCAAGAATTGAAGTTGCTGCAGACCCATCCAGATTCACTGCACTTGGACACCTTCCACTGCTAACACTATGGCTTTGTTATTGTGTTTATTGGGAAGTTAAGTATGGTTTAAGGAGATGTGTATGGGTGCCAGGTTGACAAGGGGTGGACTTGTGATGGTTAATTCTATATGTCAACTTGTCTGGGCCACTGGATGCACACATATCTGGTTACACATTATGTCTGGGTGTGTCAATGAGGGTGTTTTCAGAGGAAATCAGCATTTAAATCGGTGTTGAAAGCAGCCATGCATACATTTCTCGAGTAGCTTCCCTATAGCTTGCCGGAACCAGAGTGGGCAATTAAGAGCCTTTCCTCCAAATACTGGGGACCTGTTCTCTGATCCGTGATGGCTGCTTCTGAATGTGAAGTGCAGATCTCCACTGCCATGTTTGCAACCTCCGTCCTCAGCCCTCACCCCCTCCCTGGGGACACACCTTCCAGGAGGTTTTTATAGATCAGCACCTCCTCCTGCCTTCATTTTTCTCTCTTCTTGGGAGCCAGATATTTAGGACTAGAATATTCAAAAGCAACCATATGCCAGGCACAAAAGCTCATACCTAGAATTTCAATACTTTGGGAGGCTGAGGCAGAAGGATTGCTTGAGCCCAGGAGTTTGAGACCAGCCTGGGCAACATAACAAGACAAGAAAAAAAAAAATAGCCAGGCATAGTGGTGTGTGCCTGTAATCCCAGTTACTAGGGAAGCTGAGGCAGGAAGATGGCGTGAGCCCAAGAGTTCCAGGCTGCAAGTGAGCTATCATCTTGCCACTGCACTCCAGCCTGGGCAACTTTCTCTCTACTCTTAGGAGATCCTTCCTCCCAGCAATAACATTGCTGCTGTTCATTCCAGCTATCCATAAGCCATAATTACTGAATACATGTTGCTATAATTATTCTGAACAATCTGTCATCCTTTAAAAGTAAGAACAGTACAAGATTATATTTTATCTTCATTTATTCCTTCTCTAATGCACTTCCCTTTTTTAAGATCCAAATTTCCTATTCATTTTCCTTGTTTTTTTCTTTTTTTTGAGACAGGGTCTCTCTCTGTTACCCAGGCTGGAGTGCAGTGGTGCAATCATGGCTCGCTGCAGTCTCAGCCTCCTGAGTAGCTGCAGGTGTGTACCACCATGCTGGCAACTTTAGTTTTTTGTAGAGACAGGGTCTCGCTATATTGCCCAGGCTGGTCTTCAACTCTTGAGCTCAAGCGGTCCTCCTGCTTTGGCCTCTCAAAGTGTTGGGATTACAGGTATGAGCCATGCATCTGACTTTTCGTTTCTGTTGTTTTTTTGACTTCTTACATTTTATTTTTAGTTTTATTTTATTTTATTTTTTTGTTTTGTTTTGTTTTGTTTTGAGATGGAGTCGCACTCTGTTGCTCGAGATGGAGTGCAGTGGTAGGATCTCAGCTTACTGCAACCTTTACCTCCTGGGTTGAAGCGACTCTTTGGCCTCAGCCTTCTGAGAGCTGGGATTACAAGCACCCACCAACACACCTGGCTAAGTTTTGTATTTTTAGTAGAGATGGGTTTTCACCATGTTGCCTAGGCTGGTCTCGAACTCCTGACCTCAAATGATTTGCCCACCTTGGCCTCCTAAAGTGTTGGGATTAGAGGTGTGAGCCACTGTGCCCAGGCAACTTCTCATATTTTCCTTTTCTTTTCTTTCTTTCTTTCTTTTTTTTTTTTTTTGAGACAGAGTTTCGCTCTTGTTACCCAGGCTGGAGTGCAATGGCGCGATCTCGGCTCACCGCAACGTCTGCCTCCTGGGTTCAGGCAATTCTCCTGCCTCAGCCTCCTGAGTAGCTGGGACTACAAACACGCGCCACCATGTCCAACTAATTTTTTGTATTTTTAGTAGAGACGGGGTTTCACCATGGTGACCAGGATGGTCTCGATCTCTTGACCTCGTGATCCACCCGCCTGGGCCTCCCAAAGTGCTGGGATTACAGGCGTGAGCCACCGCGCCCAGCCTTCTTTTCTTTCTTTTTAAGATGGAGTCTTGCTCTGTCACCCAGGCTTAAGGGCAGTGGTATGATCTTGGTTCACTGCAACCTCCGCCTCCTAGGTTTAAGAGATCCTCCCATCTCAGCCTCCCAAGTAACTGGAATTACATGTACATGCCACTACACTAGAGAATTTTTGTATTTTTTAGTAGAGATGGGGTTTCACCATGTTGGCCAGGCTGGTCTGGAGCTCCTGACCTCAAGTGATCCTCCCACCTCAGCCACCCGAGTAGTTGGGACTACAGGCGCTAGCCATCCATGTCTGGCCTTTCTTTTAATTTTTATAGAGACGAGGTCTCACTATGTTGCCTAGGCTGGAGAGGATGCCTGGATGCCTTTTATTATTACTATTATTATTTTTAGTCTCGCTCTGTCGTCCAGGCTGGAGTGCAACGGTGCGATCTCGGCTCCCTGCAACCTCTGCCTCCCAGTTCAAGCTATTCTTCTGCCTCAGCCTCCCGAGTAGCTGAGATCACAGGCGCACGCCAAAACACCCAGCTAACTTTTGTATTTTTAGTAGAGACAGCATTTTGCCAAGTTGGTCAGGCTGCCAAGTTTGGCAGGCCCGCGTCGGCCTCCCAAAGAGCTGCGATGCCAGGCCTGAGCCACCGCTCCCGGCCCTGGATGCCTTTAAATCCCTCCTCACTCCGGAAGAGCCAGCCACAGGCTCCGCCCCCGCCGCCCGCCCCGCCCCCTCGGTGGCGCCCGTTTCCATGGTGACGGGGCGCCAGGCCCAGGCCGCCTGGCAGTTGAGCCGGGGGTCAGTGGCAGCGGCAGGGTACGTGGGGATGGCAATATGATCGGTGCGGGGGTGGCGGCCGGGTCGCGGCCCCCCAGCTCGCCGACCCCAGGCTCCCGGGTTACATGGCGCCGGCGCCAGCGCCCCGCTGTGGGCGTCCAGTCCCTGGGGCCGCCGAGCCCGCAGCTCGTGCAGAGCGACCCGCAGAAGCGGGTCCTGGTCCTGGAGAAGAGCCTGCAGTTCCTGCAGCAGCAGCACTCGGAGACTCTGGTCAAGCTCCACGAGGAGATCGAGCACCTGAAGCGGGAGAACAAGGGTGAGCCGGCGCGGGGCCCTAGGCCAGCCCTGCCTCCCCAGGCGCCCTGAACACTGCGGCTCCCGCAGCACAGAAACACAGCCATGAACTCCAGCACACGCCTGGGGAGACACAGGGCAGCAAGCCCACGCTGCGTGCTGCCACGCTGAGCTGTTCCCTGCCCCCGGACGGAGACTTGCGTGACCCCCCCGGGCAGTGCCCTCCCTGTCTGCCATCCTCGTGGGGCCGCTACATTTCAGACGCTGACCCCGCCAGCCCTTTCCTCTCCACCAGGGTCAGGCACACCTCTGTTAAAAACTTTGTAGAGGGGAAGCATGCCCAAGCGCCAGCGCGCAGTGCAGTGAATGTCCTCCAGCTAAACACACAGGGTCGGGGCAGGCATACCCCTGCTTGGCCTGTGCCCACGCTGTCTCCGGCTGGGCCTTCCCAACTGCACCCTTAGCAGCTCCTCACCCCCATGGCCCGCCCGAGCAGAAAGAGGGCCCACCAGGATGTGGGCCGCTGCCGGCTCCGCTCCTGGCTCCTGCTTCAGGGGCGCTCCAGCAAGGGCACCAGTGCCTGCGGCCTCCTCTCCTGCCCCACTCCCTGTTGCTGCCTTACAACTCCTGGCGTCTGTTATGTCAGGATCCCCCTTCTGAGCCTCGCCCCAGTCCCTGACACCCACGGAATCATGACACCGCATTTGCTCATCCACGCCAGGGGTTCCGGAGCTCACCTCTGTACCCTGGATCCCAGGCCCTCCCTGGCAGCGTGGATGCCCTGTAGTCATCTCAGATGGGAGGATGAGGCTGATGTGCCCAGTGGACTCGGCCTAGGGAACAGGCAGGGGCATTCCTGGCCTGCCTTGGGGCAAGGCCCAGCCAACCAGCGGGGAGCAAGGACTCTAGGGCTCAGCAGGGGGAGAGGACAGGCCACGCTTCTTCTCCCAGAATGGCTGTGGCTTCATAAGTGCTGAGGAGAGCATGTGCTTGCTTTCAGAGCTCCATTACAAGCTCATAATGAATCAGAAGTTACAGAAGAAAGGTGAGACTTGGGCCCTTCAGTGCCTGAGGGGAGGCTCCTGCCCCCCAGGGAAGCCCCTCCAGACTGTCCTTGCCCACCTGGCTGCACTGGCCCCTGTATGCCAACCCAGTGGGGACAGGTTCTGGGGAACCTGGACAGATGCCGCTGCCCCTAGCCATGGCTGGGTGATGTTACACAGCCAAGCGCAGCACGTGCTGCTCTCAGTGAGTCGAGGGCCTGAGGTCAGTGCAGTGGGGAGGTGGCCCAGGGTGCTTCCCAGACCCTCCCTCCTCTGAACAAAGTTCCTGGAATGGGAGGGGACCCCTGGGGCAGCCTGTGCCCTGCTAGGTCTTTGCCCCAGATTGCTGCTGTCGCCAGGCCCAGGATTTCCAGCACAGTGGCTCTGAGTCCTGACATCCTGGGGGAGGGGCTCTGGGCACACACCATCCAGGGATCCCTTCCTGCCATCTGGGCAGCAACCATGGGATGAGGGGAGGAAGCAGAGTCCTGCTTCCTTGCCACTTGCCCAAGGCACTTCCTCATCCCAATGGTGGCCCCCACCCAGCCCAGGATTCTGGGTTGAGGTCTCGAGCTCACTCTTCATTACCTTTGGGGCGGGGGCTGACATCAGGAGGACATCTGACTGGTGAATGGCACCAGTCTGGGAACATCCCAGCTGGGGCAGTGCCCAGGGCTCCCTTCTGGGGAGACATGGAGAATGGGGTTGAGTGAGGGCCTTTCCCTAGCCGCTGTGGCAACTCCAGTGAGCTGGTCTGGGCAAAGTGTGGCCCAGTTGGCAGTACCAGTCATGCAGTGCTGGGGACACTAATGGGATACAAAAAGAGGCCATGCTCTCCCTCGGGACCTGCTGTTCCATGTGTCCCAAACCCTTCTGCTTTCCAGATGGCCCTTCAGGAAACCACCTTTCCAGTGGGTGCTTGCTGGGTCTGGGGTTGCGTCAACGGAGTGTGGGTATAGCAGGGAGGACACAGCCCTGCCAGGCTGAGGAAGGGCTCCTCACTGACACACAGGCCAGGAGGCGAGCATGGGCATCTTGCAGGCGGCAGTGCCGACCCTGTGCACTCTCCCGCAGGCAGCCTCTCCATGTCAAGCTTCCAGTCTGTCAAGTCCATGTCAAATTCCACGGTGCCAGGTGAGCAGGCTAGCATCCTCCATGTGCTCACAGGAGTGAGTGCCCCACGTGGACCCCAGCCTGGATAGCCCCTAGGGGTGCTGACCAGGGAGCTGAAAGCCCTCCGCTGGGCCAAGCTCAAGGATTTGGGGGTGAAGGGGCAGCTGAAGGGAGCCCTGCAAGCTGAAACCACCAGGATGGGACTGGTGGGGTAGGCAGGACTGGGGCCAGTCATAGGGGGCAGTGAGACCTCACAGAAGCCACCCCAGGCAGGGGCAGCAAGTGGTCAGGAGGGCCTCCCTGGGTGGCCTTCTCGGGAAAAGGATGTGCCCTGGCTGCCCTGCAGAAGCCCTGCTTGGCTCATGTCCCCGCCAGAAGCCAGCAGAACACAGGAAGGATGGCACTGCCCACCGAGCCCTGAGCTCATGGCACCTGCAGAGTAAGCAGGGAGCAGAGCCTCTTCTTCCCACTCTGCCTCCACTGGAGGCCGGGCATCTTCCTCAGCCCCAGCCCTAGCTCCTGCCATTCCTGTGATGGGCCCAGGTGTGTAATGGGCCTTGTCCTTGAAGGGGAAACCCGTGCAGCCTGGTCCTCAGACTCTCCTGCGGTTTTCTTTTACCCAGAATGGAGCCAGCTTCCGCTTTTGATTGTTCCAGAGTGTTCGCAGGCAGCACCCATGGGCTTCACCCTCAGAACCTCATTTATTTCTCCCAGAACCCTCCTTAGGCTTCCGTTTACAGAGGAGGAGCCTGAGGCAGGGGTGGGGCTTCCTGGGTGCCTGCAGCTCATCCTGGAAGGCATGAGCAGCCGCTGTGAGTGCCTGCAGTGACTGGCCCTATCGGGTCTGACTTGCAGCCAACTCTCAAGGCAAGGCCAGGCCCCAGCCCAGCTCCTTCAAGAAGCAAGACTTGAAAGCTGATGTCCCCCAGAAAGTGGACCTGGAAGAGGAGCCCCTACTTCACCACAGCACGCTGGACAAGGTTCCTGGGGTGCAAGGGCAGGTCAAGTAAGGCTTGCCTGCTCCCTGAGGGGCCCAGGACTACATTTACTAAGCTCATGCTCTGCAGTCAGCCAACTGCTCTGCCCTTGCTCCAGGGGCCAGTCTCCAGGGCTCGTGAAACCCAATGATGGCCACGCTCTGCCCATCGGGGGGCGCTGTCTTCCTCCCTCTCCTGGGGATCCTGCAGAGTAATCCCGCTGACCTGAGCCCATAAGAGGGGCCAGCAGCAGCCCTCAACCACTTTCTCAAACAAAAGAAAACAATTATTCTTACCAAGAAAAGTGACTTGTGTTCCCAGAACTGGTCACTGCCTGCTGCCCTGGCCATAGCCTGCCTTTGGAGGGTACTAGGCCAGTGGGACAGAGCCGGGCCAGGCTCTGGTGGTCCCTGAGTTTTCGGCACTGTCCTGGGATGCTGTGAGCACACACTTTCAGCAGTGCAAGCAGCATGCATGGCAGGCTCCTGCATCTCTGCATGTCCCCTGAGACCAGGCCTGGAGCAAGAAGCCCCACTGGGTCACAACCAAGGACAGCCTGGCAGCTAGCTGGGCACCCACTGAAGCACATATGACCCTAGGGCACCTTCAGAGGGAGGAAGGGGCAGGTCCCAGTCCCAGAGACTCTCACCTGGTGCCCAGAGCACCCTGGTCAGTGGGAGAAGGGAGGCAGGCCCTCTTCCCCACACTGGCCTGGGTGCTGCCTGGGGAGGTATGCTGGGAGTGTGGTTAGATGCACCTGGGCAGGTCACCTCTGGCTGCTGCAATGACTGTTTCAGAGACGAGAAGGCAGAGGCCTCTCACGCAGGGGCTGCCTGTGCAGGGGGCAGCCAATACCAGGGCAGGCAGATGATGGGGGTGTACCCCCCGATGACTCTGCCCCCTCACCTGCGAAAGCCCACCACACTTCAGCAGTGCGAAGTGCTCATCCGCCAGCTGTGGAATGCCAACCTCCTGCAGGCCCAAGAGGTGAGGCCCTGCATGGTGGGGTTGGCCCTGGGCAGTCTGGCACCACCGCGGGTCCCACCATGCCCCTACCCCTGCCCCTGCCTTTTAGCTGCAGCACCTCAAGTCCCTCCTGGAAGGGAGCCAGAGGCCCCAGGTGGTCCCAGAGGAGGCTGGATCTAGCTCTCCCAGGTGAGTGTCAGGTGCACCCCTACCTCATCCCCGGGTGCCTGTCTGGGGCTCACTGCTGACTCCTCCTTCACCCAGGGACCAGGAAGCCATGCAGTTCCCCAAGATCTCCACCAAGAGCCTCCCCAAGAAATGGTGAGTCCTGCAGGCATGGGGACAGTGGGGCAGCCCTGCAGCCTGAGCCCGAGGGAAGGCGTGGAGAAGGGAGGGCAGCGGGGCAGTAGCAGAGCATGCTGAGGCTTCACTGGGCCCCACCCCCAGCACACTCCTCTCCGGGGATGCTCACGGAGACAGTCCCTCTACCCACCCCAGCCTGCTTCTGAGCCCCATGCCTATAGCGGAGCGTGCCATCCTGCCTGCACTGAAGCACACCCTGAAGAACAACTTTGCTGAGCGGCAGAAGAGGCTGCAGGCAATGCAGAAACGGCGCCTGCACCGCTCCGTGCTTTGAGCCGCCCACGTTCGGTCAGTGCCAGGCCCACCACCCTGCAGATGGAGACTGGCTTTCTATAGCATTTCCCAATACTTTACTACTCTTAAGCCCAGCTGAATTCCAGGATAGATGACACTTGATAGATAAAGTACTTGATCTCCAAACTGACAAACCATTTATTTTCTAGCTGTTATTTTGCTATTTGGTATTTACATAAAAGCACCTGATGAAGTAGGTATTGCCCTACCCATTGAAACTAAAAATAAAGCATTTCTTTCCAAGTTGTGTACCTGGTTCCTCACTGGCTACCAGGCATCCCTTCCCAGTCCCCGTCCCTGGCCCCAAGCCCAGCCGCTGCTGTCCACAGGACCTGCCTGGGCTGCCCAGTCTTGCTCATCCCGGGACCTGGCAATGGCCCTGGGAGAGAGGCACTGGCAGAGCTGCACACACCTCCCTGGAGGCGGGAGGGCTTTCCTGTCCCCTGGCTGGCACACAGCTGCCTTCCAAACACATGACCGCTCTGGGACTCCTGCCCAGACCGCACCCTCCTGGGGGCAAGATGCTGCCCCCTCCTTCCCTGACACTGCACCGCTGACGGGGTCCGACCAGGCTCGCTTTCCTCCTTGAAGGGTTATCTCCAAAGTGCTGTGGCCACACCTGTGCCACCCATCCCACTACAGCACAGCCACATCCACTCAGGGGTGGGGTGGACAGCTCAGTGCCCACCCTCACCTGGCAGTGCCATTTTCCCAGGCCCATGGCTCCACTTCCTTGGCATTCATCTCAGCCTTCTCCTGCTTCAGGGAGGAGGAACTTTGCCAGGAAGCTGGGGGATGAACCAGGCCAAGGAACAGGATGGTGTGTCAGGCAAGGACAGCTGAGATCTGGGGTGCCCAAGGCCAGACTGGACAATGCCGGCCCCAAGGCTGACCACATCCTGACAGGACAGCAGGGCCAGCTTCATGGTGGGGGGGGGACACAGTGATAAGTCCTGACAGACCCAGGAATAGTGTTTATTACAACAATCACAGAGGACAGGGCATTGTGCATAAAAAGGGGGACCTCTCATCACCAGAGGGCTGCTGGCCAGTGCCCACAGTGGCTGGCAACACAAGGAGGCGTTCACTGCAGGGCCCCACCCACCATCTCTGGGTGGCATAGTGTGTGGTGCTCTGAGGATGCGGGTTGTGAGGGCCTCGCTCTTCATCCTTCACAGTGAGGACATGGCACACGCAACACGCTCTAGCAACACCCTGAGTGCGCCCACATGCTGCTGAGACGGACCCAGGCCCTGGATGGGCTGCACTGAGAGCAGCCGGCGAATCATGGCTGGGGGGCCTTGCCTGGATTCCTGGAGGAAGCCACATGGAGGGCCCTTTTTTTTTTTTTTTTGAGACCAAGTCTCCCTCTGCTGCCCAGGCTGGCGTGCAATGGTGCAATCTCATTCACTACAACCTCTACCTCCCAAGTGATTGTCCTGCCTCAGTCTCCTGAGTAGCTGGGATTATAGGCACACTCCACCACGCCTGGCTAATTTTAATATTTTTAGTAGAGACAGGGTCTCACCAAGGTGGTCGGGCTGGTCTTGAACTTCCGACCTTGTGATCCGCCATGGAGGGCCTTCTGTAAGAAGATGGCCAACACCCCACAAGGAGCCTGTTCCACTGCGCCCGTCCCAGTTCTGTACAAGTGTGGGATTTCATCTGGCAGATCCCCAAGGCAGAGGAGAAAAGCAGGACAGCTAACCTAACTCCAGGCTCTCTAAGGAAGCCAACACCTAGAAGTGTCTGACAGGAGGCGTGTGTCCTTGGCCCCAAGGAGGCTGCGGGCCATCCCTGCAGTCCTGGCTAGGCAGCTGAACAGCAGGCCTGGTGGATGCTCTGGGCCCAGGGTTGAGCAAGGCAGTGTTTGGGAGCTGAGGCAGCCTGGAGATCACACCATGGCGACCCCATCGGAGGAAGGGGTTGGTGTTTGCAACACAGCAGCAGGCATGAGCCTGAGGCAGCTGGTGCTTCGCTCATGCCCTGCACACCTGGCAGTGCTCTGGGAAGGGGCAGCCCCAGGATTGGCCAAAGCACCAGGGGGTTGTGCCCTACACGCTGCCCACCCGGCCATCGGGCTGTCCACCCAGAGCCTCATCGCCAGCGAAGAACTGAATCTGAACGGGGTCTGGAGCCCAGGGCTTTGCCTCTGACAACCTTGGGGACCCAGCCCTGCCTCTGCTGCGTGCCAGCTCTGGGCTTAGGGAGACTGATCCCTGTCAATGTGGCTCTCTCTGGAGGCATTATCACCCAGACGGGGCCCTGTGCACCCAAGCTACTGGTGGGATCTGTCAGCTCCACTGAGCTCCCTAGTGGCCTCTGGGAAGAGCAGGGGTCTGTCCTTGAGCTGTAGGCTTACTCACCCCTCACCCACTGAACAAAGCCACCCTGGACAGCTGACCTGACACAAGATGAAGGGGCAGAGGGGCACAGAAAACAGCAGAGACCCCCGCCCCACCCCGCCTCGGGTGACCACTGGACAATCTGCTCCTATCTGAGAATGGTGGGGCCTGAGCTGGGGAGGGGCCACAGCACAGACACACAGTCCCTGCTTCACTGGAAGCCTGCTTTTCAGAATGACCCCTGCCTGCCCTGGGCCCCCAGACAGCTCCTCTGGGTCTGCCCATCGTACTGCCACTGTTGGTCAATCCACAGTGGGCTCTGGGCAGGGTAGTTGGCAGGCACACTGCACTCCAGCGGTGGCACACTCAGGAGGTCCTTGTCATCTGCAACACAGAAGCCTGTACCTGTAACCTGGACAAGCCCTGGCCTGCCCTGCCTCACAGCCCTGCTCCAGAACACAACTCTTCACACCCCGGAAGGTTCTGGTGACGCTTGTGGCAAAGCCTGGGAATCTGACTCTTGGATTCCAAACCTGAAGCCTAGAGCACCCTGCACCGACGGGTGCCAGACGGCCTGCTGCCCACCTCCCTAGGGCCCCAGGTGAGCAGAGCTGCACCTGTGTTGGGGAGGTGAGGGTGCACGGGCTCTGGAGGTAGGGGCAGAAGCATGGCCAGACGCATGGCCAGGCTGTTCTGAGCCCAGTGTATCTAAGGACAGAGCAGATAGCCCTCTGAGGTGTGAACACGGGGTGGGTTCTGGGCACTGTGCCCTCCAGCTTGGACGGCACAGCCCTGCGGCTGCGGTCAGGGATTGCTCTGGCCCTCCTGGACACTTGCCCAGCTTGCAGATCAGGTGGACAGTGCCATTGTTGCTGCAGTGAGAGGATTCAGGTTTACCAGGAACTTGGGTTCCAGCCTGGTGTCCTACCTGGACCTGCTTAGTTGGGGCAAGGTGGCCCTGGGAGCCACACACATACCCGTGGTGGCACTTGCATTGGCCCACACCAGCACCCCTAGGATAGGTGAGCTACGTAGTGTCAAAGGCACCTGGCCCCGAGCTTGGTTCAGCCACACAGGTGTGCACCTGAGTCCGCTGAGGCCCTGTCTGTCTGCGGAGTGAGGCTGCTTCTCTGCTCCCAGGCCTTGCTGGGCATGACACAAACCACCCCAGTGTCTGCACCAGGGGCACCACTGTCTTCATCATGAACTCTGAGGGATGACACCATACCACCCAGACAAGAATGTGCGAAACAGCCACCCCTTCCTGGGGCGGAGCACAGATGGCAGCTCCAATGGGAGGACAGCTGCCTGTTGGCGCTGGGCGTCTGTCCTCTCTCTGTCCTGACTCTCAGCAGAGAGAGCTACCTCATGCAGTGCTGGTGACAATGACATGAAGTCCCGGCCCCTTGCTACATAGAGGGCACCCTACAGGCCCTGCTAGCTTTAGAGGTCCCCAAGAGCCCATGGTGGCATTTCCATGCCTTTGTCAACCCCCGCACGCCAAGCATTCCCACAGCCTGTTTCCTAGGAGCCGGGCTTACCCTCCCCTGGCTCCCAGACTGTCCACTGATGTAGATCAACTCAGCGCTTCTCCTGGGCACTCTGCACACGAAAGCCCATCTGGGGCCATGGCTCACACCACTCCAAAGCGCCGCCACAGTGCTATGGGTACTGGAATAGAATTGCTGCTTTCTCAGCTCCACAAATTGGGCACCAGGTCTACAGCCCACAAGCAAACAGAACACTGCCCGCCTCACCACCCCACCAGGCAGCGGACGGCGAGGTGGCACTGCCTTTTTTCTCAGCACCACCCAGACCAAGCTCCTGGAGTGAAATGCTGTTTCTATCCTGGCTGTTATATGGGGGTGCCTGCTGGTTCTGCATGGATGCTGGGTGCAGGCTGCTCCTGAGCCATGGGAGACTGGGGGTGGGGGGCTCAGGCACAGGGTGTGACCACGGCAGGGCACTTTCAGCACTGCTGGATCAGAGGCCCCAGTCCAAATCCCCAGCCTCACCACTCAGCTGAGTGGAGCAAAATGGCTCATGGTGATTCTTGCTGAGGTCAGCAAGGTCAGAAGAATCCTGCTGAGAGGCCAAGGTGCAAGGGTTTCATCTGAGCCCTGGATCTTGACTTGGTGGCTCCCTGGGGTGGGCACTCTCTGTCTGTAAAAGGCTAAATGCTCATACTATGACCTGCTGCAGTGAGAAGCAGTGAGCCTCTGCACATAAAGAGCTTAGCTTGAGGTCTGGTGCATATCACACACTGAAAACATTGGGGGTGGGGGGGACTTTTTGTGTTGATAAAAATCAGTTCTACATGCTGCTACTAGTCATTCTCCCATATACAACATCCAGCCTTAACTCTGTGAAGCCAGTGGATACTGAGCCGGAGACTATGGGAAAGGAGGAGAAGCGGTTCCAGCAGACAGAGCTCAGGGAACCCAAAGGGGCCTGGTCAAGGAGACACCAGCACCCTGGGGAACTGCACCCTGGCCTCTGTCCACGCTGGCCTTTTTTCCACCACGGCCACACAACCTACTTCCTCACCTCCTACTTCTGATCCTCTGGAGAGCTCTTTCACCAAAGCCTTTCTACCAGCAGATTACAAGCGCTTCTACCCCTGCAATCCAGCAACTACCAAAAGGGAGGTCCCTGACAAATAATGCAAGTTCCAGTCAGTAACTACGTAAAAGCCACCTCTGGGGTGACCCAGGGGGTTAATATGCAGGAGGGGCAACAGCTGAACACGCCCTGAATGGGGACCCAGGCCACTCACTGCCGGTGTTGCAGTGTGCGGTGTGTGGCACCAGGCCTGGGGCCACATGGACCGAAGGCCATCCTGGTTCAGCCTCCACTTCTTCCTCTGTAGGACAGAGCTGCAGGGACTACACAAGCCAGGGTG